TTAATGAAATCAGTTCTTATAAATCATCGGATTAAGGAATTTGATATTGATTAGAATTCTTGTGAATTCATGAAGATAAAAGATTGGATAACATATGCATGACATTTGTTTAAATATGATTCCTAATATTTAATAAGATTCCACTAAAAGTTGATTAAAATCAAATTAAAATGAACATTTTTGAACAGAGTTCATTAAGGTGATAAAGATGAATTTTAGGCAATTTTTCATTTTAGATTTGATTAATCAAAAATTAAAACTCTTTATTATTTATTCCGATGTGTACTTTTCTTTTGAGCTTATTACTTAAATGGAGTATTTGTTTCATTCCATTTCACCTTTGCAAGTGGAATATCTACATGGCCTACATGACGTGCCACACATCGACGATGATAAGAGAATGTTGAAGTTTTTGACTCGTGGGTGATGCTTTCAGGTAAGAATTGTTTTGTAAAATGTTTTAGATTGTCTAATGATGACAAAAGTAAATTTAATCTCATGTAGACGTTATGTTCATGCTTGAACTTTTTTATTTATTCTTTATTATTTTTTTCGTTTCCAATCAATTAAGACATATCCTTGGTGAACTGTAGTAGGATGTCTATTCAGATTATAAACAGATCTCTTCATATATCAAATGAACTCCGATAATTATACCTTTAGGGTTACTGAAGTTTAAAATGTCAGTCTGAAAGCGAAATTATAAATAATTCCATTTAATCTGATCTGCTACTTTTGAGTTTATGAATGAGTATTTATGTAAGAAAAAAACAACAAACGAGGAAAGTGATCTCAGTAAAATCTTAAGAAGATAAGCGGATTTGTTTTTTGGTCCATATATCATTATTTCGATTAATCATTCTGAGAACATTTCTCAAGGCAAATACGGTTAATAAGCCTTTATATAAGATTTCGTACAGTTTTCAAATCCTTCATTCAGGATTCACTTTCATTTGGCATAACGTTCAGTTTCCTAAACCTTACTCGGTGACCAAATACCTAGTTGGGCGATAGACTAAATATTTTTAAATTTACTTTTTCTTTTCCTATAAAGTCTATAAAAATACTTAGCAGAGCTTCAATTATTTCAATATTGACTTAGTGCTTAGCAACAATTTTATTTATTATTTAAAGGAAGTCTCACTTTTCCAAGTATTCAAGTCAAGTGTTGAAAGAAACATCTTAATTTCGAAGTTCAATAAAAGTACATTTATCTTTTTTCAACTTTATTCCATTTAAGCCAATTCCGTGAATTATCTTCAATAGACTTTAAATTATGTATTAGAAGAGAATGCTGAAACTTTGAGAACCACATTTAGAACATGTCATGTTATTTTTTTTTAATTTACAATCTTTTCCTTTTTATAGATGTTTCTGAAAATCTGTAATGAAAAAATTCAAGCATAAAAAAGTGAGCTTGCTTGTTGAAATATTAATTAACATGAAAAGTTGCTAATGTTAATCTTTCAAATTTTGGAACATTTAAAAACGTTTCCATATTAATTAATTCTGATATAATTTTTTTCCTTCAAAG